AACGTGGGGCCTCGGAAATAATTGTTTACATTAATGGTGACCAAAACGTTTGAGACCCACTGAGATAACACTGAGAGTCCTTTAGCTCACTGAGTCTCTCATTCTGACAGGAGAGGACTCTCCTCCACTTTGTTGTTGAAAAAACTCCTTATATCCGTTAGCGTAGCTCGCTAGCACCAGAAGCTAACAACAACGATCTCCGGTACCGGTGCGCTCTCACTCGCGCACGCACACAAAATGGCTCGTTCCACACACACACACAGAGCCAAACTTTAATGAAACACAGAGACCCAGACGTAATAGTACTGTATAATATTATTTTCGAATCAATAATTTTTAAAACATTATTTTTTTTTTTGTTATGTTTTTTTTTTTTTATAACCATTTTTCCTCCTGGTCTCTCGCGCCCCCCCTGTCATGCCTCTGCGCCCCCCTGGGGGGGCGCGCCCCCCACTTTGAGAACCACTGCACTAAGGGCACTTATAACTCTTCATCGCATAAAGTACAAGAGGGCCGACAAAATCCTTTTGTTCACAGGTTGTACTTTTATTTGATGTGAAAAATGATATCAGAGGAAAAGAAAGAAGAGTGTGAGGCCCTCCTTAAAGGTCAGACAGTGGTTTCTCTTGTTAAATGTGTATTTCCTATGTTTGGCTCATAACAATGATTAAATATGTTTCCATAGCTCACCACTGCCCTCTGTTGGTGGAATTGTATTAACTAGTACAATTCCTGTGTATCTTGTTTCAACAATTAAGTATGCTTAATTTTGATTTGTATATACAGACCACATCAACTGTGTACTCACAAGATTCACAGTCTCCCATTAAACAATGTGAGGGCTCAGCAGGTACATCCTGGAACTTCACCGGGACATACAGCGGCTCACTCTGAAGAGGGACAGAGGTCAGACATTTGTAGATGAGCTGCCATCAAGCTGCAAACCAGCATCAAAGTGACATTTTGTACTGAATTTCAGTAATAAGGGTCTAAGCAAATAAGTGGTAAAAACTGAACATACAAGTTAATTACACCTGTAGCACTTCAACTGGTTTACTCTCTCACTTAGAGTACATACCAAACAGTTGCTCACAGTGGTGTCCGTGTTGCAGGGTGCAAAGTAGGCCTCAGCATCAGCAAACTGCCGAGAGACACAAAACAACAATCATTCTGAACTGTCAGTTTTCATGAAAGCTTCACCACCTTTCAAAAAGTTGTGCAGTCATTGAAGAATAGGCACAACACAGAAATACTTTTATTTGCATAAAAAAAAAAAAAAAAACTGCTGCAGCTTCTAGCTGAACTAAGGTTTAATGCAATGAGTGAATTCTTAGGCTGTAAAAAGAACGATACATTGAAAGGCAAGCTAAGACTGGATAAAGAAAAGATCAAAATCCATTATTTCTATGAGCTTTACTGTAACACAACGTTCTGCTATTGCTGCAGGTGTAGCTCAGTCAAATAAAGTCAATAAAACTGCTTTGTGACCGTCTAATTCAGGTTGGGAAAGTACTGCCTTCACATGGTGAGTGTGTTGTAACCACTTACAAACGCAGAGTGTCGGCGTTTCAGAGAGCCAGTGCACTGCTGCCTCCAGGGCCGCCACAGCAGGAAGCCCAGCAGATACAGGACAAACATGGAGGTCTTGGTGAATGTGCTGAAGAAGGGTTTGTTGTATTCCTGCCGTCTGAAAATGTACTGCAGAAAGAGTCAAGAGAAGCAAACTGTTAGGGTCATAACTACTAACACGTGGGCAAGCTGGACACTTTCTCCATTAGGCACCTCTGTTTATTTCTCTCAAGGTAAATGCAGTTCTAACTAAGAGTACTGGAGACAACAAATGATATTTAATAATATAATGTGACACTCAATACATTCACTTGATTTTGGAAGGACTCAGTGGACTTTTTAAATCCAGTCCATAGGTGACGGCTGTAGTTACTGTTATGTCTGTCTTTCGTGATTCCCTTGGACTTGACAATGACGAGGTGTGTTTCCTCTTATTTCTCATTTTAATCTACTGCTGCTAACCCAGATGTCTTTAATATCAAGTTCAAACAAGCTTTTAAAACCCAAACGGTATACACTGGCATTGGTATCATATGTTTGTCAATCGTTTAATGTTGTTTTTTTTTCATTTTGTTTTAATTCTTGAACTTCCTTTATTTATTTTACTTGTTGTGTGTGATCTTTTTCAAAATAGCTTGCTGTCTTTGCAGTTTCATGTATGTTGTTGTATTTTGTGAAGCACATAGCTATAGAAATGAAATGTGTTATTATGAACTATTCCTTTGTAACGGTGCCACATCCAAAGAAGTCAGCTGGCTTCCATTTAAGAAGTTTGTGTTTGAAACTGTGAAATTGCTTCTTTTTTTTTATCCAGCCGTACAGAGTAAACAGAGGATCTACAATGTGCGAGGAGAGGGGCAGGGTTATGTCAAACTGGGGCCTAACCAACAAAGCACAATGATATATTTTAAGTCTGAAGCCAACCCAGAAGTTAGTACTGCAAGGGCTCCATCGATTCAAAGGAATGAGATTTTTCCATTGGATTTAAGATTAGTTCAGATGAGAACAAATGATCTGTGGCAAACAAACGTTTATGATACTCACATGTTTAGTTCAGCAGGGTCATTTCCACCTACTCACACCACTTGTACATTTGTTGAAGCATAAATTCAAAAGCCAGAATTAAAAAGCTAACGTGATGCAATAAACAAACTACAGCAGGTCACCACCGCTAAGCTGTCTGATTTCAACACTTTGCATCAAACATTGTTTTGAATTAACTTAAGCGTTTCAGACATTTACCAGTGGGGTAATTACTGACATAATGTATGTCGTAGAACAAAATGTAAACATCTCATATGCTTGCATTACCATAGATATTTTTTTTAGGTCTCTAACCCAAAACTCTTTGAGACGAGGGAGCCCAGAAGTAAAAGGGGTAAAAGGCTAACTATTTTCAGGGTTTAGGACTCAACACCTAAATACAGTCTGATTACAGAGCACAGTAATCTCGTACTGTAACCAGAATTGCAGCAGCAGGTGTGGAAAACTGAGTGAGTGTAAAAAAGTCCTTACTGAGGTGAGCTCGGAGGAGACCACCCAGATAACGTCCACCAGCAGGAGGATCACCACTCCGAGCGCCATCCTCCTCCGCTGGGATGCAGAGCTTCCCTGAGAGCTCATCCGGTTCATGATGAACACCCACTCCATTGGGACACTGGGGACACCTGCATGGACCGACAAGGACATGTGGAAGTTACAAGATGATCAGAAACAAATCGTTAATTAATCCATGAGTGTTCCATGAATGGGACAATCTGCCAACAGAATTCTAGATTCTAACGATAAAGTAAAACCTCAATTTGTATCGTACCCTAAATGTAGAACTTGATGACTGCATTAGTTGACTAATAGGTTAGGGATTTCACTTATACACCCTTTAAAACCAAGAAAATACTTATGCCATATTACGATTTCCAAAATCTAAGACAATTGATATCAGGATATCAATTTGATATTGATATATTGCTCTCATCTAAAATTGGTCCTCAACAAAATATTAAAGCCAAAGTAGGACTATAATATCCTGGCAGAGAATATCTTTCAAATAGCCGTTTTACATTGCAATACACACCTGTTAACCAGAAGGATGCACACACTGAAATGTTCTTTGCAGAGGCTGACTCCAGGGGACTCACTCTTACAAAAGTCTGCCCAAAAAAGAAAGAGCAAACATAACTAATGTTAACATTTTTAAACAAACAACCTGTCAGAAAACATCAGTGGATATGATACCACTGAGTGACTCAATGGGAATCCAATACGTTTTTAAAATGCATATAATAATAAAGAGAATAACGACAGACATACATTAGTTGAGCTAAATGCCAGCTAGCTATAGTCAGTTGTGTGTGGTGGATAGAAAACCATTGACTGTAAAACATAGCTGTACTGTTCGTAGCAACATATTTGAAGTGTTCAGTGTTCAGTTAAATATCTAGTTTCCATAAGGCATAGTTTAGCTTAACTGTGTTTGAATCCTATCAGAGTTCTCATGTCAGGTGAGCCGTTTCTCCGACCCCTGAAGCTAGCGAAACAGCATACAAGCTAGCTGCTCCAGTAGCTGTTATGTTTACAGACCTGGGGTTAGCTAGTAAAGCGAAGGTTGTGTTTAATGTCCAGTTAACTGTAGTTCATTGAGGAGTCGGCTGGGGTGTAGTAATGTGTGTTGTTACCGTTAGCAAATAGCATCGCTGTGCTACGTTTGCTTCTTTATCAATATAGAAAACTAACGTTGACGAGCTAAGCGCTAACAAGCTTGATAAGGTGATCAGATGTTTGATATTAAAGTAGACTTTTTACCTGAATGCGAGAACAAGTCCTTTAGTCTGTGCCATACTAGTATTTACATATGCTGCTAAAATATTGACACAATCACAGTTTTAACGATCAAAATGTTGACAACACTAATGTTGTAAACATTAGCACACCCTCTCCTCTTGACTATCAGGTGACATCACTTATGTACTCCTGAGACTTCTGGGAAATGAAGTCTTGCACTGGCTTGTATTGTTATCGCACACTTCAGACTTATTTTTCAATGTAATCTTTAAAACCCTCAATTCAAACACTAATGTATGGAAGAGAACAATTATATGTAGTCGAAATATATATATATTTCTAAATTTCAGCTTTATACGTTTGAGTAAGTGACTGATTGTATAGCTTGGTGATATCTCTCAATTGTGTCACTGTTGGTACTGAGTGATCTGTACCTGTCTGTGGAAGCACTAAAACAAACATACAATGGACAAATGTTTCCAAACTCATGGCAAATATATCGCTTACAAATATATACAAATATACCAAGAAATACTTTTTAACCTACTACATTCATTATTTAACGACAAAGGGTGCTTATAGTCCAAATGGTTTCTGAAACAACATGCATGTGTCCAGCAGGTGGCGCTGGCGCTGCGTCTGCACGTTCACCCACCGTAGAAGGAGAGCGACAACGCTTTTTCAATTGAACATGGCGGCTTCCCTAATGGAGAAGAGTTGCTGAACTTATTGAATATGTAAAAGCTGCTACATTATCAAGCCTGTCACGATAGTCACGTTAAGCTGCTGGTGCTACGACGGAGTGAAGAGTGTGTATCGGAAAGTAAGTAACACATATGTCATTATAATGTTATAGAACAGCTTGCAGGTTTAGCATCACGGTTAGCATTAGGCTAGCGCGATGGCCTAGAACAAAGTGTTATTCATTGCTAAACGCAGCTTTAGAATGTTGTTATGAATGCTTTATATATCATGTATTTCAGTATTCAATGGGATACAATGAAGTCAATAAGTATGACCAGTAGGTTGAATATTAGCACGCTAACCTCACATCATTGTGATTGTTCTCTTAATGACCTCCTTATTGACTGTGTTGATGTCAAACAGGTTGCAGTGTCTACTAGGATCTGAAAAGCATGCTGTCTTCAGAGTGAGAGAAGCAGAACAGCATCATGGAGTATTCTTCTCAGGAGGGGGAAACTCAACTGAATCCCCAGCAAGTCATCCCCCAGGTGGTCGATATGACCACCAGTGAACGGGTAAGCCGTTTCTTTCCTTGGATCAGATATGGGTTTTAGTAATACAGTCCCTTTGATGGGCTGAACCGATATATCGATGACATTGGCTCCAGCACACATTCCTACTGCTGATCAAGATTTGACATGTTTATGGAATATATCTATTTTCGAGCAGCATACTGCATATATATTAGCTACACAATGAGAGTTCCATGGTCAATTCAATCAAATAAGATTGTGTGTCCGACACAAAGTGTGTGTCCCTCTGGCAGGAGGACCCAAAGCTCTCTCCACCTGAACAGCTCCTTCCCCTCTACTGGCCTCCTCCTCAGGGCTGACCCTACCCCTCAGCTAGCTGGCTCTATAGACTCTGTGCATTACATTCATGCTCACAATGTTAACAATATATTGTTCATCCTAATACTGTCTGAATTCTGCACATGGCACATTGTAACTGCACTTATTTATTTTATTATATTTGTTAGGGTATACGTTTACTTTATCCATATATTCAATTTAAATATTGCTATATTTTAATGTTATAATGTTTTTCTTAAAGTTGTTTTTCTTTAATCATTGTTTTATTTTGTATCATTTTTTTATTTGAATGTACACCAAGATACATTCCTGGTTTGTGTTAACCTACTTGGCAATATACCTGTTTCTGATCCTTCTTAGTTTAGTCTAAACATTTGGAAAAAACACCTGCAAGAGCAGTACGATTCACACTGTGGAGGAAATCACCATATTTGCATAATATGAATTGATAAATGAATCAAATCATCTCTTGTACATCTCAGGGGTTTTTTG